TTAGTTTGGTTCCAACTCTTTGCTATTGTAAATAGAACTGCAATAAATATGGGGGTCCAGGCAGGCATCCCTTTGACATGATGATTTCCATTCCTTTGGGTATATACCCAGCAATGGAATTGCTGGGATTGTATGTAGTTCTATCTGTAGTTGTTTCAGGAACCCCCATACCGTTTTCCATAATGGCTGCACCAATTTACAGTCCCACCAACAAAATAGGAGGGTTCCCCTTGCTCTGTATCCTCACCAGCATTAGTTATTATCTGTCTTTTTGATGATAGCCAGTCTAGGTGGCATGAGGTGATATCTCAGTGTGGTTTTGATTTGCATTTCCGTGGTGTTGAGCATTTTTTCATGTGTTTGTTGGCCATTTGTATATCTTCCTTTGAGAAATGCCTATTTACCTCCTTTGCCCATTTTTTTAATCAGGGTTTTTTTTATTTTTACTATTGTTTGAATTCCTTGTATATTATGAATATTAATCCTTTGTCAGATGCAAAGTTTGCATATATTTTCTCCCACTCTGTAGGTTGTCTTTTCACTCTGTTGTTTCTTTTGCTGTGCAGAGGCTTTTTAGTTTGGTATAATCTCATTTTTGTTATTTTTCCTTTTGTTGCCTGTGCTTTTGGGGTCATATTCAGAAAGTCTTTGCCCAGTCCTATTTCCTGATGTTTTCTTTTAGGAGTTTCATAGTTTCAGGTCATCTATTTAAGTCTTTAATCCATTTTGAGTTGATTTTGGTATATGGCAAGAGATATGGGTATAGTTTCATTCTTCTACATATGGATGTCCAGTTTTCTTAGTACCATTTATGGAAGGGGCAATCCTTTTCTTAATGTATGTTCTTGGTGCCTTTGTTGAAGATCAGTTGGCTGTAAGTATGTGGGTTGATTTCTGGGTTTCTATTCTGTTCCTTTGGTCAGTGTTTCTATTTTTATGCCAGTGCCATGCTGTTTTGGTTATTATAGCCTTGTACTATAATTTGAAGTCAGGTTGTTTATGCCTCTGGCTTTAGGAATTAATACCAATTCTCTTAAAACTATTCCAAAAAATTGAAACAGAGGCCATTCTCCCAAACTCATTCTGTGAGGCCAGCATCACCCCGATACCAAAACCAGGCAAAGATACCAAAAGAAAAGAAAAATATAGACCAATATCTTTGATGAACATAGGCACAAACATCCTCAACAAAACATTGACAAATAGAAACAGCAACACATCAAAAAATTATGTACCACAATCAAGTGGGATTCATCCCAGGGATGCAAGGATGGTTCAACATATACAGGTCAATAAATGTGATACATCACATTAACAAAATCAAGGAAGAAAACCATATGATTATCTCAATAGATTCAGAAAAAGCATTTGACAAAATTTTACATTGCTTTATGATAAAAACTCTCAGCAAATTAGGTATAGAAGGAAAATATCTCAACCCAATGAAAGTCATGTGCAGCAAGCCCACTGCCAGTATCATCCTGAATGAGAAAAGCTGAAAGCTTTTCTCTTAAGAATGGGAACAAGACAAGGATGTCCACTCTCACCACTCCTATTTAGTGTAGTATTGGAGGTACTTGCCAGAGCAGTCAGGCAAGAGAAAGATATAAAGGGCATCCAGATTGAAAAAGATGAAGTCAAATTGTCCCTGTTTGCAGATGGCATGATCCTATACACAGAAAAGCCTAAAGACTCTACAAAAAAAACTCTTAGAGTTGGTAAACCATTTCAGTAAAGTTGCAGGATACAAAATCAACACACAAAAATCAGTAGCATTTTTATATTCCAACAAACAATGAAGTAGCAGAAAAAGAAATCAAGAAAGCAAACCCATTTACAATAGCCATCAAAAAAATAAAATACCTAGGAATCAATATAACCAAGGAGGGGAAAGATCTCTACAATGAGAACTACATATTACTGTTGAGAAAAATTAAAGAGTCATATTCAAAGAAATAGTGATGAAACAGGATACCAATAAGCAAGCCCTAAGCAGAAATTTTCCTTAGCTGCATCATCCTCTTTGC